CAATCACGGGGGGGCGGGACCGCGGGCAGGTGCGGGCGGGGGGTCGGGCCTTTGTGTGCGCGGCGTGTGTGTGCATGTGTGTGCACGTGTGCGTACGTGCGTGCAAGTGTGATGTGTGCGCCTGTGTGTATGCACGTGCGCGTGCGTGCGTGCAAGTGTGATGTGTGTGCCGGTGTGTGCATGTGTGAGTGTGTGCGCACGCACCTGTGCGCGCGCGTGCCGCTGTGTGTGCATATGTATGCACGTGCACATATGTGCGCATGTGTTTGTATGTGTGTATGCGTGCGTGTGTCTGGGTGTGTGCACGTAACACCCCCCTGCCCGCCCCCAGGAGGGTTGCACGTGTATGTGTGTGCACACATGTGTGTGATCCTGTATGGTGGGTGTGTACATGTGTATGTGTATGCACACGTGTGCAACCCTCTATTGGGGAAGTGCACACTATAATGCGATCCTCCATGGGGGGTGTGAACATGTATGTATGTGCACACATGTGTGTGTGGCCCTCCATGGGGGTGTATATGCCCCTGTGCACATGTGCAGTTCTTCCTTTGTGCATTTCCCCCTGTCCTTCCTCTGGGTTTTTGTGCACATGGGTGTGCATGTGCACATGTGTGCAGTGTCCTTGCCTTTCCCCACAGGTAGGTGGGTGTGTACGTGTGCTTGTGCAATCTCCCTCCCTCCTCCCCCCAGCTGGGAGGGGGGGAGGTGCACATACGTGCAACTGCCTGGAGGACTGTGTATGTACATGTGCACAATTCCCCTTTCTTTCCCTGTGGGGAGTTTGTGTATCTGTGTATATGTGTGTGCATCCCTGCCCTTCCTAATAGGCATGCATGCACAGGTATGTGTGCCCATGCTCATGCATGTGTGATCCCTCTACCTGCCCCCTGGTGTGGGGGGATCTCCTTGCTCTTCCCTGTTAGTGGTGGAGAAGGGAGGTGTGCGCACATGTGTGCAGGGGGAGGTGAGAGTGCCCAGGATCCCCTGGCCTTGCTCACCTATGCTTGTCGGCACTTGCATGTATGTGTGCATACAGTCCGCCTGCCTTTCACCATGAGCATGTGCAGGTGTGTGTGTGGGGGTGTGTGCACACAGCTGGCACATGTGTACAATCCCTCTGCCTTTCCCCCGGGCATGTGTGTGCATGTATGTGTGCTCCTGGGCACAAGTGTGCAATCCTTCTGCCTTTCTCCCTGGTATGTGTATGCGGGTGCATGTGACTATGCTTGGGATCCCCCTACCTGGCCCCGAGGGCATGTGTAAATGTGTGGGGGTGCATGTGTGTGCACATGATGCCCCTGCCCTTCCCCACAGATGTGCACATGTATGTGTGAGCATATGGGGGACTCCTTTGCACAAGCATGGGTGAAGCTGGGGTCAGTGGTCTGTGACAACCCCCACCCAGCCCTCCTCTCCCCAGTGCCAGGTCTCCAGGGGTGGGGGAACCACAGGGAGAACCCAGGTGTCCTGACTCCTTACCCCCTCCCTAACTGGGGCTGCCGTACCCCCCAGAGCTGCGGGAGAACCCAGGCATCCTGGCTTGCACACTCCTGCCGAGGCCCCAGGATAAAAGCCAGGTGTCCTAGCCCTGCTCTAACCACTAGCTCCTGCTCCCTCATGCTGCCCTTGGGCATTGGGGCTGGGGCCTTGGCCCAGCTCCCCCCACTCAGGATGCTGGGTCAACATGGACCAACATCGGCTGCTCTGCTCTCTGCCCTGTACCCCCTGCCCCATCAGCTGTTCTGCTTTCCCTGCAGAAAGGGGCAGGGAAGAGCTGGGGATATCTGAGGGGCAGACACAGGGCAGGGAGGGTGTTCCGACCCCCAAAGACTGGCTGGGATGGGGGTCAGGGCCACATGGCGGGGGAGGCTGGGACCAGGGGGCAAGGACAGAGCGGGTGGCAGCCCCATAGGGGGCTGAGGAAGGTGAGGGCTGTTTCTGCAGGTGATAAAGTATTAATATGCTTGGATGCACAGCTGGCACACCCCTGGGAGCACATGCTACAGCCCCACCCAGGGGAGCTCAGGCAGCCCCCCCCACCCCCCAGGCCTCAGCAAACAGGGGTGGGAGGGCAGGGACACAGTGCCCTGCCTGTGGCACCCAGCCCCCGTGGATGCTGGCCCATGGAGTCCAATTTAGTGCATGCTGGGAGTCTGGCCATGGTACCTGGCCCAGTGCATGCTGGGAATTCTGTGGCCCTGGTGACTGGGCCCATGGGGTAGGCTGGCAGGTGTGGGGTTGAGGGGAGCTGCTTGCTGGGGGCCCCAAGAAACACAATCCTTTCTGCTGGGCCAGGGACCTGTGTGTCCGGGGGGCCAGATGGGATGGGGCATGATCCCCAGGGCCCTGTCCTCCAGGCCTGCAATGGGTTAATTCCACATGGGATTAGCATGCCACAGCTATGCCAGCCACCTGATCCCCAGTAAGAGGATTAATGCCCACGTCACAGCCCCAGGACCAGGCTGAGAGAGTGAGACCTGGACACTGGGTTCTGTATGTGTGTGTGACAGACCCAGATGTATGGGGTGTGTACATGTGTGTGCATGCATGCACAAGTGTGTGCACACAAATGAACACGTGTGTCACTGCTGCCCCTTGCAGGTGTTTGAACTGTACCCTATGTGTTTCCAGCTGTATCCCCTGGACACCTGGGGTCCATGTATGGCACTGGCCCTGGGATCCCCAGGACTGTCCCACATCAGCACCAGCCCCCTCTGCCCCCCCACCCCAGTCCACACCATCTCCCCCACTTCCAGCAGCCACAGCTGTGAAGCCTGGAAACCAGGGAGATGAGGGGGCCCCCAGAGGCTCTTGGCAGGGTGGGGGCAAGGAGGGAGATGTAGCTCAGCAGTGGTCTGAACTCAGGCAGGAAACAGGCACAGTTGCACCTTCTAGACTAACCAAACTAGGGAGCTATCCACCCAGCCACACCCCATTCATCCACCCACCTATCCATCCACTCCTCCATCCATCCTCCTGTTCATCCACCCAGCCATCTATCCAAAGACCCACCCCCCTCTCCATCTGTCTGTCCATCCATCATAGTGCGCTATGGCTAGTCCCCAAGGTGCAGCTCTACCTGCCTTTTAGGGAAGTAAGGCCCAGAAGTTGCAAGGGCGGGGGGGTTCTTTGCTGCTCCCCGCTGAAAGTGTGTGCATGTGTGTATACATGCCCACATGCCCTGATGGCTGCAGTGTATGTGCATGCATGAGACCCAGACACCTGGGTGGTGGGGTGGGGGCAGTGATTTGTACGTCCGGCCCAGAGCCTTTTCTTTCTGGCTGCAGAGAACAGGATGTGGAGCAAGTGCTGGAAACTGCAGCAGCTCTGAGTTTGGTTGGAGACCTAGCAACACCTTTCCTGGCGGAGCAGCAAGACTCTGGAATCGATGCTAGGGCAGCTGTGGAGTCTCCATTGCTGGAAGGGTCCAAGCAGAGGCTGGACAGGCACTTGATGGGGATGTTCTGGGCCTAGCAATGCCTATGCTCTGCTGTGGGGATCTCCCAGGCTCCTGGGCCTGGGAAGGAAATGTTACCCCCTTTTGGCTCCATGTCAGAGGTTTTGAACCTCCTGCAGAGGCACTGGGTGTTGGCTGCAACCCAGGTTGGGGGTGGCTCCTGCTGGGACTTAAACTGGAAAGATCCTGGCTAGAGGCTCTGATCCCTCTGCTCAGGGGCAGACTGACACTGCATTAGGGTCAGGAAGGGATTTCTCCCCTGGATGGAATGGTTTTACCCTCAGCCCTGCTGCTGGCACAGGGATGACTATGTGTAACCCGCCCCCCAGCCTCACTTCCTCGGTCAAGGACAAAGCTCCTGGCAGGTGCTTCCTGGAGAAGAGGGGACATCAGGCACTGCAGCCTTGAGGGAGCCCCTGCTGGTCCCCCACCAGGCTATGGGGTCAGGGCTGGTAGGACAGGGCCTGTCTCTCTGCTCTGGACCCCAGGTACCCTCTCCCCACCCCCTCAACAATGAACAGAAGCTACAAAGCCCAGGCCTCATTAACTAGTTTATTAGGCGCAAGTTGTGGGGTAGGGGAAGGGATCTGTACAGGGGTTAGGGGCGCTGCACAGGGGGCCGGGGTGAGCTAGGCCCATCCGGCTGGGGGATGAGGGGGGCAGGGGGAGCCCTGCCGGCGCCCCCAGGCCTATGTACAAAGCACTGGGTTAGTGGGGGGGCTGTCAGCATCGTACCATGGGGCATGTGGGGGCAGGGGCCGTGGCAGTGATGCTCTAGCAAGGCCCCCCCCATGTCAGCTACCACTGGGGGGCAGTGGCCCTAGGGGGCCCCCATAAAACCCCCCAGACCCCAGGGTAGGGGAAGGAGGCGCCACAAGGAATAACAGTCTGGAATGTGATGAAGTGCTGATAACTTTGGGGGGGGGCTGGACCCCCAGTTTGGGGAAGGGTTGTCCTTC